CGCCGGCCGCCGAGCCCGGGGCGCACAGTTCCGCCCCCTCGCGGGCGCGCCGGGCGCCGAGGGATGAACGCAGCCCAGCCACAGGGCGTGGAGGCCGGGCCCAGCCCGCTAAGTTATGAAAATGTGTATTGTATTTATCAGTAATTTACAAATTGTTAGTTCTGTGCCAGATAACGTGTTGGAGGCTAGGTATTCCACCTTAAAGAGGCCTGTCTTGACGCCAAGGAGCCCTGGCGGGACCTGGATTGACTGTTGAACAGGCTGAATCCACTGGCCCTTCCTGGGAAGAAAGATGAGATGTCTGCTCCTGTAGGGATTCACGGTCTCAGAAACCGATGGAACAATTCTACTCCGTCCCATGGTCACTAGCAGTTGGCATCAACGATGGTAGTGGATGGGTCTTGACTCCAGTGTTCTTTGCCAATGGATTCGTGTTCACTTCGTTAAATATTTACACTGGGAATATTTGGTTGCATTGAATGGACAACCATCCTTGTAGCCTGTTTTCAGGCTTAGGATTCTAGGAGACAGGCCCACAACCAGGAGCGGTTGCAGAACTGAAGCAGAAATCTACGAGTCATTCATTATTAGATGAATCCTCGACAAACCCACAGCTGACTCACTCTTCCTTCTGTGCCAGTTGTAAAAGATCTCTCGATGCCCAACTCCATCCTCCTGTCATACTCATGGATCCCTCTGGTCGAGCAATTTAAGTTATATTGCTAATAATTGCACAATTAAATGGGTGTAATTATTTTTCTAAAGTCTCCATTTTATAAACTTCTAGAAGTCATGAACCATAACTGCCTTGTCCTCTCCTGAAATCATTCCAGTGTCTGGCACAATTAAACCCACAAAACCAAACTCATAGCCACTGAGTTGATTCTGACTCATAGAAACCCTCTATAGGGTCTCTGAGGCTGTAGCTCTGCCTTTACAGGGGCAGCCAACCTCCTGTCTCTCCTGAGAAGCATCTGGTAAATTTAAACTGTGCTCATAACTATTCGTTGAGCAATTGACTCATTCATAACAAGGCGTTCTCTTGGAGTTGGAGTGTTTATTGGTTTGAGTCGGAGGAGCTGCTGTGGGTGGAAGTTCACCCCCATGGGCTGTTCCAGTTTGGATTTCTCTCTGGGTGGCTTTCCACTCACCTAGTCTTTAATCCTGTTAAACACGGTGTCACTGTAAAATCCAGTGTCAACACTGGCTTTAGGCCCCTCACCCAGGGCTTCAGAAGCACTCTACCGCTCTTGATTTGAATAGTTTTTCATTCTTGATATCTTTGGCCTTTCGAAAATCTAAATTATAATTTCTGCTTGCTTCAACAAATTGTCAAATGAAGAGGAATGGAGGAATTTGACAATAAGCAAAACATGGTTTCTTTCCTCAAAGATCTTTCTGTTTACCCAAGAAGTCTATTAGGTCACAGCAAACTATACAAAAAGGCAGAAGAACTGAGGACCAATAATGAGAGCAGCGATACCAGGAGGGTAAGGGTAAGGGTAAGGTGAGGGGGTAATGGGGAACCAATCATAATGACCGATGTATAATCCCCTCCCAGGGGGATGGACAACAGAAAAGTGGGTGAAGGGAGACAGTGGTCGGTACACAACATAAAAAAATAATAATTTATAAATTATCAAAGGTTCTTGAGGGAGGGAAGGTGGGGAAGGGGGAAAATGAGCTGATACCAAGGGCTCAAGTAGAAAGAAAATGTTTTGAAAATGATGGCAACATATATACAAATGTGCTTGACACAATGGTTGGATGTAGGGCTTGTGATAAGAGCTGTAAGATCCCTCCATAAAATGATTTTTAAAAAGAACAAGAAGCAAGCAGGCAGAAGGAGAGAAAGGTTAAAATATAGAGTGGAAGAGGTCCGAAACAAAAAACTCACTGCCAAGGAGTCAGTTCGAGCTCACAGGAGGCATGAAATGCTAGTGTTTGTTTGAGATAAGCCTGAGTAGTTACATCATATTCTCCTCCTCTTCACCAATATTTTTGATGATTTTATTATAAAAGTTGTACATAGTAGTTTTTTTTAAACTGGGAAGTTTCTGAAAATTTTAAGGAGGATAAAAATAACCTTAGTCACAGATATAATCAATATTATAAAACCATAATCATACTGCAGTGCAGTGGACTATTTAATGTGGCTCATGTAGCCATAGTCTCTGTAACTCCTACCAAACAACGTTTTACTGACCGGTCTGGATAAAAGAAGGTATGGGATGATGTTGACATGATTATATGATTCAGCTGTGAGCTATGTGAGTTAGCAGTGTTATGGTTGCCATCTTCTGGGTATAAAATGAGCTATCTCAAGAGCAGGAAAGGGGATCTCACTACCAGCAACAGAGAAAAACCAGGAGTGGAACGTGTCCTTTGGACCACAAGATCCCTATGTATTTAACATCCTTGATCCAGGAGATAGCTATAATAGCAGAGGAGCAACACTAGCAGAACCAGAAGCCAATGCATGAGACAAAGTGGTGGGTTTCCCAACCCACAGAGCAAGTAAAGCTGAGTGCTTTTGAGCAGGAGGCTGGCTTGTGCAGTAGAGTGCCTATGGGTGCATAAGTGGGGGAGCAGTGTTTGGTGATCTTCGGAGCTGGAGCAGCGTGCCTTAGGGTTGTGACTTCCAGAGGAGTGGTATGCCCTTTGGGAATTCATTGGGAGTCCTAAAAGAACTTTTGAACATTCCCCGTGAGAAAGAAGAGGCCAGACCAAGAAGCTGAGGATTAAAGGGAGGCCTGCTTTGGGGCCTGACTGAACAATGGTATCCAGAGCATTTCTCAAATGAACTGTCAGTTGTCGATTTCCCTAATAAACCCCATAATCATGAGTATTGTCTGTGAGTTCTACGTGGCCACTGCAATGAAACCAGCCACAGAAGCAGAGTGTCCTGGTTTCAGAATAGGGTAAAAGTGGAGGGTGGAGAATGGAGACATGTCTGATCTCTACCTTGGGCAACTGGTCAGACATGACTACACATAAGAGGGGGTAGCCCCAAAAAAACTGGACTTTTTTTTCCAAATCGATGTATTTAAATTTTGTTACAAAACAACCTTATCACCTTCAAAGTCCTCTCCATTACACTTAATACATTTGTCAAATCTGCGCTTCCATTCTTGGAAACATTTTTCAAACTCATCTGTTTGGATAGCTGACAGCATTTCCCTAAATTTCTCTCTTCACCTCTTGTACATCATCAAATCACTGTCCTTTCATGTCCCTCTTCATTTGAGTAAACAAAAAAAAGTCACAGAAGCTGGGTCAGGTGAGTCAGGTGTTTGGGGCAAGAGAGGCATGCTGTTTTTTAACAAAAACTGGAGCACTGAGACGGCTGCGTGAGCAGGTGCATTGTCATGATGGCAAAGCCAGTCCCCTGTCTGCCACAAACCAGGCCCTCTTTGTTGCACACTGTTAGGCTATCTTTTCAGAACCTCTACATAGAAAGCTTGATTAACAGTCTGACCTGGTGGAATGAACTCCAAATGCACTACAAGTCGACATTTCCATGTGTTCAGGAAGTTGACAGACATCCAGAATGAGGTTTGTCATCAAACAATATTTCACCTTTTTGAAACACGAAAACCACTCGTACACTTGAGTTTTTCTCATAGCAGTGTCCTTGTAAGCTGTGTTCAACATCACAACAATTTCTGTGGCATTTTTCCTGAGCAGGAAACACAATTTCACAGCTGCACACTGTTCTCTTAAAATGAGGTTGACGTGAAACTGCTTTTTTGAAAAAAAAATTCACGTGACTAGAGAGCACCATCCCAGGCAATGCCACTGGGTGCACTAACTCAGAGCGAGGTGCCTGATGCTTGCTAGCGAGGAAAATGCCTACTACTACTACTCCATCCAGTGAAGCCTTTTCCGATTTTTTTTGGGGGGGGGGTACTCCCTCATACTATACAGTTTCATAAAACACTTAAAATTACCATTTTAATTATAGTTTGTGCACTTTCCTATATATGGTACATACTCGAGTATAAGTCAAGCTTCAGCACATGTTTAATGCAGTTTTTGTGGTAAAATTAGGTGCCTCAGCTGATAATCGGATTGGCTTA